ATTACTTTTGCCTACCCTTCATATTTCAAACGTTGCGAAATCAAATTCTGAATCGCGGGCCGCATCAACCCGCGTGGTATCGGAACATCCGAGGCCAAGCCAGGAGAACAAGCACCCCTGATTTTTCGCCAGATTCATCAATCGTTTCGCCAGGCTCCCGAGACCCAGGGTAAACTCGGTGAAAAGCAGAGTGACCCAAAAGCGGAGCCATCACTCTGTTGACCGTCCACGTAAGTCACTGATTTCACTACTTTCAAATTTCCCTATATAGTTATCTATCGTGGACGTAACAGCTGCATTCGAAAACGTCACTCGAGTATTTTTCCTTTCTTTTTATCTCACTCTTGTATCTCGCTCACTCCAACATAACGGGTACACTTGGGTGATGTTTCCGAACGCAGCCCATGTTGGTTTCATTTTTCTGGCCGTATGCGGAGTCCATGTATAGATGCGTCAGATTCCCTACCCGGGTGCACTCTGTTACTAGAAACACTATAGTATATGTTACATATACTATAGCACTTCTTGTATTAGAGTGCACCCGGGTAAGGAATCTGAACGCAGCCTATACTACGTCCATAACTAAGAAGTATTAGAAGGCAATAGGGATAAGCATTAGCTAATAGGAACAGGGAATAGAAATATTTGACCATTCCGAATTCCTATTCCTATTGCTCAATTCTTGACGGTATGCGAATGAGATACGCATGCGAAAATGTATAGTTCACGTTACGTATACTGTAGATTTTCGCATGCGTATCTTATTTGCAAATCGTCAAGAATCGGGCCCTTGGCATTCTGCAAGGACTTTATTGCTATCCCTCCTTCAATGACGCGCATGCGCGAAAAACGCGACTCGCATCAAAACACTGGTCTGTAGAAAGATTGAGTATCAAATTGGAAGACGAATTATTTCGTAGTAAATAAAATAAGTGTCTCGTAAAATAAGTTCTTTTAAACTTAAATCTGTTGTACGAACCATAGCCTCTAATTAATTCTGACGTGTTCGAAAATTGAAACGAAGCAAACCATCCCGAATATATATGTCTTAAGGTTATCTTACATATTTATGTAATTGTTACTTGATGTTTGCTGGAATGCTGCTATTGACATTTATTGGGTATATATATTTTGTAGTCTCCTCTCTCTTTGTTTTTATAAACACTTCCACTTACATTTACGTAAAACATATTCTTAATATAGAATAATTCTATATAAATATCTTAAGAAATTCTCAAAAATTCGAATCATTGTGCATGTATAACTTTCTGAATCATTTTTGTACGAATTCTTAAAGAATTACAATTCAGGAGAGGAGAAAATTTCAAGAATACTTAAAGAATTCATTGTACTATTTGAGGTTAGGTTAAGTTAGAAAACATGCGAAACCGACATGTACTAGGCACATTATGATCTTGACAATACCTTATTTCTCATTATGAATTTACCGAGAACGTAGAGACCATTCTCAGGTGATCTCGTCAAGAATGATGAGCCGATGCCTATCAGCCTGTCCGATAGAACGCCACAGCATTCTTTGTTGTCGAGCGATATCTCACTCGGTCTCACTTGCGTCACGGGCGAATTGCCGTCTTCCCACAGATTCAAGTCTAAAGCGTACCCTCCCCAATCGCTGTCGATTATCTGTCGCCTCAGCTCATGATCAACAGAGGTAGACTTGGAGCCGTACGGCTCGGAAAGACAGACCTAAGCGGATAGACAGAGTAATTATGATATATTGAGATAATTCATATAAAGAGACTTAGGGAAAGAGAGAGCAAGTTACACTTTTAACTGAAGTAGTTGACATGAAGGAGAGTTATTCACAAAAATATCTCAAATTTTTCACACGTGGTACATGTTTATTTGCCGGTGTGCCACTCCGCGCACTTTTTCACAAGTGATCGCCTTCAATAGATTGTCGATAGAATCCTTTCGTGCATTTGTCAATATATTTATAAAAGAAAACAATGAATATAGTTGATGTTGAAGTAGTTTTCGTTTTTTGTTCTTCAAATCTTAAATAATTGAATAATGATTTACATAACTTTTAATATGAATACAGTGTTGAATAATTTTTAATTTTATTATATATATTATATATTTTTTACATTATTATTAATAATTATGCATAAACCTGGTTGGTAATGACCAGTATTGGGAAAGATATGAATTTTATGATTATTATATTTATTAAATATTTATTATTAATAAATATATATAATTACAATTACTTATTTTATCTAGATCTTGTTTAGATAGATTATAAAATATAAACTTATATATTTTCATAAGATACAAATATTGATAAGAGAGATTATTAAGAGAGAGATAGATGAGATATAGACAAAATTTTATCTAACTAAAATCCTTATCTTTTGTAATATGTTCTTTTCTATATTTTATTTTTAAGATATTTGATATGTAGTTAACCTTTTCAGTAATAATTTAAAATGGTTACACTATTCTTACGAAAACAATTTTATTTTGTAATTAAATACACATATATACACACTTCTTTTCATTACTATTTTCCTTAAAAAATTTTGGAAAATAGTGTACAATATATATCTAATTTGTATATTCACTGAGTTACAAAATACAATAATTAAGTAAATTAAAAGAAATAATTATTATGAAACTTAATATTTTATCATGAAACTTTGCCAGACATACCATTTAAGGTGTTAAAATGGAACATGATGGGTGTGTGTGTGTGTGTATATATATATATATATATATATAACTTAAATATTATATAATATATATACACAACATATATTAATATATATAGTAATATATAAATATATAAAAAAATATATATTTACATACATTATTACTTAACACAATTAATACTTAATACAATATTATAAGATATAATCTGATAAGCTTGAAACTAATTAACAATGATATATTTGGGTCAGAACTATTTATGCATCAAATGCTAATTTCTTTAAATCATCAGTAGAGAAACGATAACGATGCCACTTCTCTTCTACAGTAAGATCACAGGCTCCTCTTTTTTTGTAAAACTCCTGAGCTGGGTTCCAATTCAGCACAATAAAATCCAATTGGCGACAATTACTCTCAACAGCTGCCTGCAAAGATATTACAATTATATCTAGATATAACACACAACACATACATCTTTACAAAATCAAGCACATAATTATGATTTCATTTTTAACACTTACTTTTGCGACGGATTTCAAGAGTTTATCACCAACATATTTCCCTCGAAATTCTGGTGTCACATAGATATCCTCTAGACACATAGCTTTTCCTACCCATGTGGAGTAAATATAATAAAAAAGCGCATAACCAATGACCTTCTCACCAGAGGTTGCCACGTTGCAAAAAAATAATGGCTGCCCATCAAAACCATCTTTTTCTAAGGCTAAATAAATTTTTTTATCTTGTAATACTCTCATTGAATATGTTTTACAGCATAGTAATCAAAAACACACACTTACTTTTATAGTTGATTTCCATCTGTTCAGGCATCTTTTCATATTCTGACAATTCCTATAAAATAACGTGAGAAATATAATAAAAAAAGAAATAATGTTATACAATAAGTGATCGTAAAAGAATAACAATGGATAAGAATACATTTGTATGTAGAACATACACGTTTACATTATTTAAAATATTCATACGTTATAAATTTACCTGTATCAGATCTCTAATAGCTTTACAATCTTCTCGCCTAGCCTTCCTTATCGTTATTTCCGCCATAATTTATTGCGAAAGCGATATATTTTACTTTCGCAGTGTGTCAGCAAATTTCTTTTCCGAACCAGTAGTGCAATTCTGTAATGGGCCTTCTACAATAAACTATTAGTGATTGGTCAACTTATTTGTAATAGTGTCGTTATCGTTGTTACGCAACTTTTCTATCATATACCTGCGTAAAGACAATATAACTGTAATAACACTGTCGTTAAGAGTTACAGAATCGTATCACAGCACTTTATGCCGGTATAAGATTTTGAATTAGAGACTGATGTTCATATCAGACTATGGATTAAATACTGATAGCGTATTCGACTGAACTTGGTTTAATCGAACCGGAGTCGATTAATGACGTCACAAAATTCTAGCCAATCAAAATTTATACGAAAATGTTCGACGGATGAACTTGAGTTTAATAACCCAAGATGAATTAACTCAGGTCCAATCAAATACGTTATGGTGATTGAAGGTTGGGACTTAATTAATTAGAATAAGGACTCAGACACAACAAAATACTTAAGCAGCGAAACATAAGCAGTAAATAAATTGACCAATTATAATCGATGATTCTCCTTATGGTCCAAGAATCTGTTGTAATTTATCAATTTGCTTTCTGCTTAAGTTTTTCTATATCTATTTATTCTAGTTATTCTATTATTTTTCTATATTTCTAAGTTCTAAACTCAAAGTTTGTTGATATTTATTAAATCTAATCTTCAATCCTCAATCTCCAAACCGTAGTGTGATACGAGCTTTAAACGACGGGTGCATTCGCTGCCTGGTTTACATCGTGCACTTGATACGTATACTAAATAGTAACTTTCTATTAGATAATCTTAATATCGACAATGCATATTGTCACGTCCGACCGACCAAGCTGCCAGTGATAATTTTTTTTGTCCAAATAATCCTTTACCTGAGACACTCCAGGGCAGCGATCACGTAACTTCGAGCGGAACTTTTCACTTTTCGCTCTATCGATTTCACATGAACTTTTTCATTGTTCACGTAATCAAGTAACTCTATGCGTGAAAAGCACAAATCACTAAACATGGTTCCTATATGATTTCAATCGGCTAATCCTATATGATATCAAATGATATCAGCCAAATCAGCTATATCCATCGGCTGTAGAACATATTAACCTTAAAAACATCGCTATAACCTTAGGATTGTTATGTTTCATGTATCTCATTACTGGCAGTGAATTTCGGAACGTAGTCCAAGTGCATGATATAAACCAGGCCAATCCAATCCAAATCCGTACATGTTTATGCCAATCAATCGCAGAATAGCTGAGTAGCTGGTCACATGACCAAGTTGGCGATAGGTGGGACCCGATTGACTACGATATGATTGGACACAGATTGTAATGATTGGTTCGACCTAGTAATTCACTAGATAATTCTTTTCATCGGTTGGTTATGTCCAATCGTACCGTGGTCAATCGGGACGCTCCCGTTGGCGATTCTCTGTACTAGAGGTTCTCTACTCGAGATTTGTTCGAGTCCCATGTCCCAACATGCTTCTACTCACTCCAACGCACTCTGATTGGTCCGCGTGGTGACGTGAACCAATCAGAGTGCGTTGGGACAAATAGAAGCACGTTGGGGCATGCGACGCAACAAACCTCTAACCCAACCTGTATTAGATCCCCGATAGTTTAGGGAAGTTTCAATACCCAGAGGAAGAATACGTTCCACGCGAATTCTACGTTTTAGATAAAAAGAAAAATGGAATCTATCGAAAGTAACGACGACGAAGCAAATATTTCACAAGAGGACGATATCAAACAAACAGAGAATGACGCACCAGTGCGTCTTATACCCGGATTTGATACATTCACCGAATACCTTCAAGTATATTCACTTACATGTTAATATTTATAAGTTAACCGTATAATTAATGTCTATAAATTACTTTAAACTATTTAAAATGTTATTTACACACACACACACACATATATATATATATATTTGTCTTATATAATATTTTCAAATTATTAAGAAATTGATTAAGAAAATGTGCTTAATATGATTTTCCATTAATTCATGCATATGATTACATCAACAAAGCGTTTTAGGAAGCCCATGATACATTAAAAGCTGGAATTAAGGCAGCCAACAACCTGCCTGCTGGAGAAAACTACAACTATTATTCATTCTTTCAAAGTTTCAATGATGCCAAAAACATAGATACAAAAATGATATTGGCCACAATACAGACCATAATGAAGATAGCAGGTGGTACTCACAACATTGAATACCGAGATATCGAAGAGAGGTTTGACTTGTTAGTAGAAACAAATGACTTGTTACTTGATCAAGCGGTAAGTGATCCAATTTTATTTATCTAGATAATAAAATGATTTTCCTGTATGTTTCTCAATAAACTTCAATTATCATATGTTGCAGAATGTATGGATGGATGAGGAAAGTGGTATTCTGCAGAATCCAGAAGTGCAGTTAGTAGTGTCACAAATACAAAAACCAACTGTGAATGGCAGTTGGAACATAAAGCAACCCTCCAGTGCCTCAAATAATTCTCAAAGCATACGTCTGCTGGGTGGGAAGAATGTGTCAAAGCCGCAGGTGATGTTCAAGGACAAGATCGACAATAGTTTTAAACCCTGGATGCCGCGGATTAAGGAAAAACCAAACTCTCTGAAACCACTTGCTCTCTATGTAGAAGAAGGAGAGAACGGTGAACACTTCAGTCATCCCTATGGGTTTGAACTGAATAAATTCGAAACGCCAGAGTGTCAGTTGAAGAAAACCACGCCAGTGAAGTATAAGTCGCTAGATGACACGCAGCTTATATTTATCAGCACACTATCTGATTTGAGGATCATTTTGGAAGACTTGAGGAATTACGACGAGATAGCCGTCGACTTGGAGCATCACTCTTACAGATCGTTCCAGGGTATAACTTGCTTGATGCAGATATCGACAGTCGATACAGACTACTTGATCGACACTTTAGCTCTGCGGTCAGAATTGCATGTACTCAACGAGATCTTCACAAAACCTACGATCCTCAAGATCTTCCACGGCGCCGACTCCGACATCCAGTGGCTTCAAAGGGATTTGTCATTGTATGTAGTGAACATGTTCGACACTCATCAGGCGGCGAAGCAGCTGCAGTTTCCTTACCTCAGTTTAGCCTTCCTGCTGAAGAAGTATTGTGGTATAGATCCCAACAAGCATTTTCAGCTGGCCGACTGGCGTATACGACCGTTGCCGGAAGAACTGATGAAGTACGCGAGAGAGGACACGCACTATCTGCTTTATATAAAGAACGTGTTGAGAAACGAGCTGATCGACTCGGCTAACGGACAAAACAACATCCTGAGAGCCGTGTATGACATGTCCACGGATATCTGCAAGCGAACGTACGTGAAACCAATCTGGACCGAAGAGAGTTGCATGAACATGTACAGAAAGAGCCAGAAGATGTTCAACAACAAGCAACTGTTTGCGTTCAAAGAGTTGCACAGGTGGCGGGATGTCAATGCAAGAGAGGAGGACGAAAGTATCAACTACGTGCTACCAAATCATATGCTCCTCAACATTGCGGAGACGCTGCCGCGCGAGATGCAAGGTATCTTGGCATGTTGCAATCCGATACCACCGCTCGTGCGGAAGAACCTACTGTCGTTGCACAAGATAATGCTGAAAGCCCGAGAGCAGCCGCTCGTGAAGACTATTCCAGAGGAAGACTTCCGGCAAAGACTGACGCAACGAACTCACATAGTCAACTCTGATGTATGGATACACTCGTCGCACGACGTACCGAAAGGCACGGAAGCGAGGGCGGACTTGCCGTGCCTTCTGGATAAGATCGACAAGGCGTGGCCTATGTCGAACGCGAATGTCGCGATGAAGCATATTGTGACGGTTTTCGACTCATCTGAGGTATGATTGTACTATAAATTGCCGATGGAATAATCTGTTGATGTAATCTTGTTCAATGCCCAAAGTTTTCATTTCAGGATGAAGAGGTGGAGATCGTGAAGAAACTCAAATTCGTAAGCCCCTTCCAGAGGTATAAATGCGTAATACCGATGATAGTTGAGATAGAAGCGCGGGAACGAGAGAAACAGCAGAAGGAAGAAGAGGAGAAGCGTCTAATTGAAACAATTACGGATCTAAACGTAAAGCAAGTCGAGATTGATGAAAGTAAGGCCAGGGTACATGAACATTTCAAGCAGATGTCTCAGTTGTCAAGTCAAGCAATTGAGAGTATACCTAAGAAAAATAAAAAGAAGAAGAGGAAGAAAAACTCTGAGGTTATCTTGGGTCAAATGCATGGTAAAAAAAGAAAGAAGGAATCCAACATCACGAAAGAGAGTGCAAACCAGAAAAGAAGCGACAATAATTTTAGTACACCTACGCCGTCTCTCAACACTAGAATCGTGCACATGCCTAAGAAAGTGAGGCAAGAAATGCAAAGTGCAATTGAAGAACAGATAGTACAGAAAACTTTTGCGGAAGTTCAGAGTCACAATAATACCAAGGTGATACCAATAAGGTAAGAGCTGTATGACTTGTGTTTGTTTCTACCAGTGTTGATCAAATCTTAACCTGAGTTTAAACTTTATTCAAAAATTTAAACTTAGATTAAGGTTTGATCGACATTGATAAAAACAGTCATTAGAAAAATAACGACCTAGATAGCATAGAGAATTCAAAAAGAATTTATTCATATGTCACCAATTCTGACTTCATTTTTGGGTGCAAAAAGAATTCTTTTCACTGAAGTGAATTCTCTTTGCATCTGAAAATGAACTTAGAATATTACTTTAGAATTAGTGACATACAACTGAATTCTTTTTGAATTCTCTGTGCTATCTGGGGTTGCACATAATAGAGCTAACTATAGTACTATTTGTATAACAGGTCCAAAAAAAAGAAAGAAAAGAAAGCAAATGCGGCGCTATTAAAAGAACAAGGTATGCTACCATCAGAGAAATTCAATTATAAGGCAGTAGACTTTAGCAGCTTTCAAGGTGGTAGTACGCAGGATAACGTTACACAGACACAGTTTCAGCAGCCAAAGGTAAATCAAATTTTGTCAATGTTAATATATAAAGTAGAATTCACTCACAAATTCCTGATTGTTTCAGCAAAAGAAGCAAAGACATCGAGATCGGAAGAAGCAATTTAAGTTGAACATATGATTTGTAATACAATAATTTAGCCCTGTTGTCATCTCCATAAAGAATTTATTATATTTTAGCTGATTTATTACCAATTGAAATGAGTCATTGACAAGAGAGTTGATTGTTATTTTTTTTTAAATTTCTTATAGAAACAGAGTTAATAAATATTTATAACTAGACGTGAGATTAAATATTCTCTAAATAGAGTATTTTTTGCTTCGATATTCAAAGTTTTTATTCAATATTTCACTTTGTAATATGCATACCAACAACAGTAAATATATATTCATTATGTTAATTCTGTTGCACATACAAATATAAAAACCACTGGTTTGAATATACGATCTGTTTATTGTGAAATATTGATTACATTTTATATCATCATATTAAGTAGTTAATTAATTAATTATGAGCTAATTACACTAATTTTAGGCTGCAGAAATGTCAAAAGCAGCAAATATTTATCAACTCTGTTCTGAAAGATAAACTTTGTAATTTTACTCTGTATTTAGTTTTTTTTTCATAATACTCGCATTCTGTCATCCTTTCTTCGTAATGTACAGACTGTAGATCTGTAAAAATTATCTGTAAATATAGTTATTATATGCATTTATATAGTGATTATTAATTATAGTTATATAAATATCATTAAAAATTTATATATTGACCATGTTTATACATCTATGTAAAAATATAATTTATTTATAAATTCAAGCTTAAAAGATAATAAAGTAAATATAAATTTATATAAAGTAAAAATGAACATAATAATGAGACTATTCATAAAGCTTTTTATATACCTCTGTTGAAATAGAAACTTCAAGTTGTAAAATGCTTTTTAAACTATCTCGATATCAATTTTTACCAAAGTTATAATTTATTGCACTTAGAGTATATATTTTTTTAGAGATTAGTTAAAAAATGTCTTATAATCCATTGGCTACGTTCCGAAATGCACTGCTAGTACTGAAAATCTATAGTTCATGTTACGTATATTATAGAATTTCAGTACTGGCAGTGAATTTCGGAACGTAGCCATTGTTGAGTTATATATCTTCCATACAATATATAAAAACTTCGATTCCTTATTAAAGAAAGTAATGGCTCGTAGCGGAGACTTTGGAAGTAACTTATAAAGGTTGCTTTCCAATAAGAGACACAAGTCGACACAAGTATCATCTTATCTTTGGATAGTTGCACTGTGTCACACAGAACCAGTATATTGGTTGCATATTATCTTACAAGATATTTTAGATAATATGTGACCAATAAACTGGTTTTATGTACGTGTGTGTCAAGATGTATTAAGCAATTGGAAAGCACCTTTTGTTACTCACTAAATATGGAACAAAGATAGATACGGGCTTAAAGCCCGTATCAGACTATAGATTAGGATTGAGATTGAATTAAAATTGAGCCAATCAGAGCAAAATTCATTAGGCTCAAGTTTGGTGAACTTTCCTTTGATTGACCAATTTTCAATTCAATCTCAATCTTAATCCATAGTCTGATATATCATACGGGCTTAACACATCTTGACACATATGTACACAAAACCAGTTTATTGGTCGCATATTATCTAAAATATCTTGTAAGATATAATACAACCAATAAACTGGTTTTGTATAATACACAAAACGTAACTGGAAAGCACCCAGAATGATGTTGTGTCGATTTGTGTCTCTTGTTGGAAAGCAACCAAAAATAACAAGTCGAAGGGTGCAATCCACTAGACGCTACAAACGCTTTGAAGTGCTTAAAAAGAAGCTATGACAACATTTGTAGCGACTAGTGGATCGTGCTTTTTAAGCACTTCAAAGCATTTGTAGCGTCTAGTGATCACGTCTTAAAGCGCTTCAAAGCGTTTGTAGCATCTAGTGGATTGAAACTGTTATTTCTGTAAATTAGTTCCAGTCTCCGTAAAGCCCCTGTCACACTACGGATTGGAAATTGAGAATTGCGGATTGAAGACTAGATTTCGACGAATCAATGCACTTTGGTCTTGACCTACTTGGTTCCAATTGGTCAAATTTCAATCTTTAATCCGCAATCCTCTAAATCTTTAATCCGTAGTGTGACACGGGCTTTAAAGGCCAAATCACACTAGCGATTGGTGATTGACGATTGACAATTAAAGATTAGATTTTAACGAATCAACAAGCTTCAGTCTTGGCTTGCTTTGTTCCAATTAGTCAAGTTCCAATCTTCAATCATTAATCATTTATCGCCAATCGTTAGTGTGATTTGGCTTTAAACCCGTGTCAGACTACTGATTAAGATTAAGAATGAATTGAAAATTGGCCAATCAGAGCAAAGTTCACCAAACTTGAGTTTAGTGAATTTTGCTCTGATTGGTTAAATTTTAATTCAATCTCAATCCTACTCTATAGTCTGATACGGACTTCAGTATCACTTTGTAATATGCATACCAGCAAGAGTAAATATATATTCATTATGTTAATTCTTGAATAATATTTTTTATCACCACTTTCTTTAACGTGGAATCGAAGTAGCTTTAAACAGTATATTAACCATATATTTACAAAAGTCTCCGCTACGAGCTGCCACTTTCTTTACGAAATAATCGAGGTAGTGATGGCTATAAACAGCATCAGTTAATAATTTTTCTGTATTGTATTTAAACAAACAATTCAGCAACAGCATAAGACGTTTTTAATCTTATCCTGAAAAATATATGGATAACGTGTAACAAAAATAGAATAAAGCCAGCAACACACGGTGCTTGTTTTCGTGCTAGAGTACTTATTGCATGAAAATATTCTGTTTTGATTAGTGCGTTTCCATCTATCTTCAGAAATACACCAATCAGAACAGAGTATTTCCATCCAGCAAGCAATCTAGCACGAAACAAGCGTCGTGTACTGCTGGCTTCAATGTAGAAGGCCTATAATAGTGAATTCCTCGAACGCACTCCAATTTACACGAGAAAAAGAATAATTCATTCGGTAAAATGGCGACTACCGTTAACGGAGTGTTTCACAAAGAATTGCGTGATGCAATTTTACGTAGTAAAGTGCTTATTGTGGGAGCCGGCGGCATTGGCTGCGAGATCCTGAAAAATCTCGTTATGTCTGGGTTCGCCGATATCGAAATCGTAAGTCTAAAATTTTTATAACAGCTAACATAATAACATCTAACCTTACTTTACAATTTGTACCTGTTAAAATATCTTAGCTTTTGGCGGGTATTTCATAAATAATAAATATATTTAATTTAATGCTATAAATAATGAGATTAATGTAAAAATTCATATATTTATACATATTAGATGATGTTATTCACGAACTTATTGTTTAGATTCAGCTTCCTTCTATATGGTTGACTTGTAAACAAATTTATATTTTCCAACTGTTGCTTATTCTTTCGTTTTTAATATTTTTTTCCTATTAAATTTGATTTCTTTGTTTTAGATTGACTTAGATACGATCGATGTAAGCAACTTGAATAGACAATTCCTTTTCCAAAAAAAACATGTGGGAAAGTCGAAAGCTAGTGTAGCTTGTGAAACAGCACTAACATTCAATCCAGATACAAAAGTAATCCACTATCATGACAGTATTATGTCGTAAGTTTATTTTTATCTTTATTATAAGTCAATTTGAGGAAATAACACATTTATTTGATATTCTAAATCTTATTAAATGTTTGCAGATCAGACTTTGGCTTATCCTTTTTTAAGAAATTCACAGTGGTTTTAAACGCTCTTGATAACAGAGCAGCTAGGAACCATGTGAACCGTATGTGCTTAGCAGCAGATATACCATTAATTGAATCTGGTACTGCAGGTTATGAGGGCCAGGTTGAGCTTATCAAGAAAGGTTTGAGTCAGTGTTACGAATGCACACCTAAGGCTGCACAAAAAACTTATCCTGGTTGTACTATCCGCAATACACCCAGTGAACCTATTCACTGCATAGTGTGGGCTAAGCATCTTTTCAAGTAAGCATTGCTAACTAAAATAAGAAGAAAAGTTAATTTGATTTTATATAAAAATATTTTTGAGTAATTTCTTATATAAGTAATATTATATATGTATATATATTGCAGTCAATTATTTGGAGAAGAAGATCCTGATGAAGATGTTTCTCCAGACACAGCAGATCCTGAAGCAGCTGGTAATATAAATATTTTCAATTCTAATATCATTTTTTAATTGATATGTTGCTTGATATTTTCACTGTATTTCAATATATATTTGTATCTTTATCATTATTATTAATTTCTAAGACATGTCCAATAAAATGATAGAAATATCTTGATAATTACAGATGCAGCAGGTGAGATGGCTTTACAAGCAGAATCAAATGACAAAGGCAACATAGATAGAGTTTCTACACGAGTTTGGGCTCAGTCTTGCAATTACGATCCAGAGAAACTATTTACAAAATTGTTTCATGATGATATCAAATATTTATTAAGCATGGATAATTTGTGGAAAAAGCGTAGACCACCAACGCCATTGGATTGGAAGGAATTGCCAGATGGAGGTTTGTCACTTTTTCACATGTTTACAACACATTCTTATTTTTTATATTCCTAAAAATTTTTGGAGTTTTAAACTTTTAATTTTCTCATTAACTTATTGATAATGTTTTCTGTTTTAAAGTTGCTGGTTGCAGTAAAGATATTACCCAGCCAGGTTTAAAGGATCAACAACGTTGGAGTATTTCTAGGTGTGGTGCAGTTTTTGCAGAATCTGTGAAAAGTTTGAATAAATCGTTAACAGCGTCACAAGAAAATTCGCCGGGTAATCATCTGATTTGGGATAAAGATGATCAGCATGCCATGGATTTCGTCGCAGCATGTGCCAATATTCGTGCGCACATTTTCGGAATTGCTCAGAAAACCAGATTCGATATCAAATGTTAGTAACAATAGGTTTACTTGTTTAATCACTTTTGATTTTTTCCAACAAAATCCAACTTTAACCTTCACTTTTCTTTTTTATCATTTTTTTTTAGCGATGGCAGGAAACATCATACCAGCGATTGCTACTACTAATGCTATCATTGCGGGCCTAGTGGTTCTTCATGCTTTTCGAGTTTTGGAAGACAATCTGCGAGCCTGCAGATCTGTCTACCTACGTTTGAAAATGAACCATCGCAATCAGCTGCTAGTGCCAGAAAAAGCGGTAAATCCGCCCAATCCTCGATGCTATGTTTGTGCGCCTACTCCGCAGGCTGTGTTAGCGGTCGATACTTCCACTATGACTATTAAAGAATTGGAAGAATTGGTATTGAAAAGTCGACTCAATATGATCGCCCCTGACGTCATGATCGACGGTACTGGTGCTGTCGTTATCAGCAGTGAAGAAGGCGAGACTGAAGGAAACAACGACAAGAGATTAGAGGAGTTGGGCATTAAGGATGGGACGATACTCAAAGTTGACGATTTCCAGCAGAATTACTTCCTTACTGTTTTTGTGGTTTATAGAGAGAAACCTGGCCCAAAAGACGATAGTCCACAATTTTTAATACTGTCTGATAAGGATGCGCTTGAACCGAAACCTCAAGAAAAAACCGAAGAAATAGAAATTGAGAAACCTTCGAATGGTCAGGTAAGAGACGCTATTTTGCAGGATATTCTTGTTATTTTATCTAGATATATTTAGATAGATCAAATATATGTTCGTTTATAGATTTATATATATATATATATATATATATATATATATATATATATATATAAATTATCTAAAATAAATGAAGGGATTTTCCCATAGAAGATTGTCAATCATAGTATTTTTACTAATTGATAAGATATTAATCGATGAGATATTAATCAAGAAAACTTTTCTGTAGGCGATCGAAGTGTTGGACACGAAAAAACGCAAAAATGATGCAACGGAAGATGGAGTAGTGGCCAAGAAACGCAAGATAGAAATTAATGATGTAGATGATATTGACGACATTTGCATTATCGAGAACAATGATGTACATCATGATGCTACATCCGAACTGAAAAATTCGAAGAAAATGAAGTCTTCCGAAGATCTGGATTGTTTGATAGTATATGATGATAAGAATAGTGATTGATTTTGAGAATAAAAAATAAATATATCTTTACTAATAAAAAAACGATAAATTCGAGGAAAAACTTAAGATATAGACCTAAAACTTAAAAGAATACAATATAAAAGTTGATAGATATTTAGGTCAGAAAAGAAAGGTAAAAAGAAAAAAAATCAAAAGAGACAAAATGAAGATATCCTATACTTAATTTATGTAAATAGGTATAGGACAAAGAAAAAGAAATATTCTGCACAAATTTGAAAACAGTTATTGATTGAAGATAAAGAATAAAAAGATATAAAAATTCAGAATAAAAGCAAGAAATAAAAAAAAGACGCGATTTTTAAGTTCAAAACAAGGAAAAATAAAGATGAAATTGGTTTAAACTTTTTATTCAAGATGATGAATGAAGATATAAGTTGTGAAACTGCAGATATTTCAAGAGTGAATTTTCGTTCCTTTTTGTTAAGAAAATGTGTCTGATATAATAATTTTACATAAATATATATATATATATATATTACACACACACACATATATATATATATCTCATATACACACACACACATAATATCGTGAGTATTATTATTCTATTATACTGACTATATGATAAATCAAGTGATCGATTTTTTACATTAAAAGTATTAATTAAGATAGCTATGTAATCATTATAATCCATAATTTCCATTAAAAACAAGATTTCATCATGTGTCCTTACATAAAGGAATTTTCTTCCATCGAAAGAGTTTTGGAATTAAATATTATCAAACACTTTGTTACCTCGTTTGAACTAATTTTTTCTCTTAGCGCATCGCAAATATTTGTCTGGTTTGTAATTAAACATATCGAAATCTACTTTGTATCTCTTATACAACCGTATGACCATGTCGGTAGTCAGATTGCGAAAATATTTGCACGACGTGTTAAAGTCGGTGAGTCCATTACGAGTGCGTTGCAACGTGGACAAATAGATTTTATTTCTGTCCAATTTCAGCTTTGACAGAATGTAATTGATCTGCCCCAAGGTGTAATTGTCTAGCTTCAGGATGAAATTATAATTCACATCACAAATCGCGCAATGAGTGTAATATCGATCCCAGTGAACATCATCATGTTCTGGCGGTTGCCTCAGCAACCATTCCAAGAATTCGCGAAAACTGGGGATCACCTTCAGTCTGTAGAGGTATTGGTGAGAACAATATTACGTATCTAATAGTTAAATTTTCTCTTATGTATAATTATATTAGATCGGAGATATGCTAGAATATTTTCGGATTTTCTGTATACCTTTTGTCCGGCAGGAATATCTTCTCTAAAATGTTTCCATTGGACGATTTGAAACGAAATAATTTTGGCCTTGAAAGATAAAGAATCGAGTGAGCGTGGAGCCAGGATTGCGCAGTATATTTACTGTTGTCCTCGATACGATCTCTGTGAGTAAATTTGCGTCATTGTTTTGCGCTAGTTTTAACACTGGACAGTGACCAATATCATATTGCATAGCTTGAAAGCATTGATAGAATCTGTATTTGTTCTCTTCTCCAAGCTGCAAAATGACTTTGGTTACTCTGCATTTAACGCGTTGATTAGAATTTTTACAAAACGATCAAACTAATTACCTATATGATGAGACTAGTCGTTGAAAGGGATGTCGAACAATGAGCAATTTGAAGACAGCGCTATCGTTAATATAATGCTGCAGATTTTCTAGAGTTTTTGGCGACAAAAAATCCACTTCTCTGCAAATTATACACATTTTTTTTTTTCTTATTTTATATATTTTCTCTTATACGTTTTATGTACACACACATGTGTATGAATGTACGCGCATACACATATATACATAAACCAACTATTAATTACTTGTAAAAATTGTGGCTGACTTGGCGATTGCTCATGTCGGAAAATAATTTGGTAAAACTAGTAGATGCAACTTTACGAATCCAACAATATAACGACTTATGTTTAGCGTTATATAAAAAATGTCTTTTAATGAAAGGTATTCTCTTCAGATTGTACTTCGTACATGTGTTCGACATCTGTCGAAGTAGAGCCGCATTCTCCTATTAATGAAAATATAGTTGCTCTTGTAATATCGGTTGTTTTAGATATTCAATTTTATATTTTGTTTTTTCCACTTGATAATCTCTTATAGCTATAAATATGCATCTTTGTGGAAGTTTTAAATATACCTGATAATCGATGGTTTCACCTTTCAATTCGTCCATTCGTAACATTTCGACTTCTAACTCAACATCCTTTTTGTTTATCTTGTTTGCAGATGAAAAATCTAACGTTATCGGTTGGTAATTCGTCGTTATCACGTTCGTCATTTCCTTTGAGTCGAAATTTTTTCTCATTTTAATAAAAACAACACACGCGATGAGGTAAAATGCAACGCACATAGCGCCTTTAAGTAATTGCACTTTAACAAACATAATTAGTATAATTAAGTAATAATTGTTGTTGCACCATATATACAAAACTCTAACCAAAAGCTCTAATCAGAAATCGAATATTACAAATACATATTTTATTCGAGAAATTAATTCGAGCCTGTGAGAATTTAAGAGTAATTATTTCAAGTGTGAGTATCGGCGAAGAGTTCTTGATTTCCTATGTATCTTGATTTGACAATATTCATTTACACAGCGTGTTCACTAAGATATTCTTCTTAATTCTTCCACAATTATATCCTTAACATGTCAAAGCAATGCTATAACATGTTGAAATCCTTCCGTATCTCTGCCGTTTGTCAGGACAAGCGTATCCGTCTCTCCTAGTTCGTGTGGGTAGCACGAACGATAACTTTTATCTTCCTGCGATTATCGGATTCACTAAAGATTTGTCATTTTGAAATCGTTTCTGAATATAAAAAGATTTACTATAATTTTAAGATATATTTTAGAATCACGAGTTATTTTTTGTTAATTTTTATAAGTTTTTCCCCAAATTATTTCAAAATATTAAGAGAAATGTGGATACATTAATAAACTTGAAATACACGTTAAAAAGTACAGATATATGAAATATCATTGAATTAGAAAACAAAAAGATATTGTTCTTATTGCTTAAGCCTCCTAGCTACTTGCCGCGAAACTTTTGATTGATGACGTCAGAGAACGAATATATATTCAAATTTTCTACAAAGAAATAAAGAAACATCCAAAAAATGACACTTGCAATCGATTAAACATACTTCTAAAATACTCCAAACACTTTCTTTTTGACCTAACAATCAATAAATAACCGTAAAATTAACGTGAAATGCAACCTTTCTTTTTGATGTACATCTTATTATTTTGTTGTATCGAATTATTAATTCTAAATTTGTAGATTAAATCCTCAATTCAATTTCATGAAAATAAATTACAAGGTAATATGCAAAACGTTCAGGAAGAATTGTAGAAAAGGGAGATATTTATATCGGTAATGAATCGATATTTTTTTTTTTCTCATTGAAATTTCGATATTGCATTTCATTTGATGCTGTAAAATGATGGAAATTTACATACAAAACTTCAATACTCAGTGGTACAAAACTTACTTAATATAGTTTACGTTACTTTACAACAAAGAGAATGCGATTGAATGCGATTTGAAATCGCGATTTAGTAATTAAATAACTACTAAATTCTACTGAATAATGGATATAATTGCCCTCATAATAGATACATCATTGAATTCGTCGATTCCCAGCACTTTACACAGTTGAAAATTTATCTATTTTTAAGAACTTTTTTTTCCTATTTTGTTTTTTATTGAAATTCTTAATTTTTAATTAATTCATATTATATGAATTAATTTAAGAACTTTTTTTTCCTATTTTGTTTTTTATTGAAATTCTTAATTTTTAATTAATTCATATTATATGAATTAACTTACAGTTTGTATTTATTTATTTATTTGAATTAATTAATTCAAATAAATAGTAAGCTGCTCAATTAAATTAAATATTCGCAGGAACAAAATAATTTAACTTACTTATATTTTTTCTATGATATAATATTTTAACTAAATTTTTTCTATAATATAATATTTTAACTAAATATATATATATATATGTATA